ACAATCAATTTCCATGTTTCTCTTTTATTAGGATGTTGGGGAAATGAGAAAAGTGGACCAGCAGCAAAAATGCAAGTCACTGCTGACCGAGGTGCCCGCTCTCTGACATGTCAGAACTGAAGACCATTGACTCAGATGACAAGAAAATGACTCCTCTTATCTCCAGGCATGTTTTCAATGTCTCAGACATTCTGTCTCATCTGATGCTTCAGTGGCCCATGGTTTGATCAGATAGTTAGTTCCTATGGCTTAGTATTTTGAGTCAGCCACCAAGAGTTGGCCAGAAATTGTTCTATAAGAGATTTTAATCTGTTTTTAAAAAAAATTTTATTGATTTTTAGAGAAAGGAGAGAGATAGAGAGAGTGAGACATCAAAACACTGATGTGAAAGCAGAACAGTAACATCGCTCGGCTGCCTTCTGTGTGCTCCCACCAGGGATCAAACCACATCCCAGGCAAGCGCTGACCGAGAATGGAACTGGCAACCCTTCAGTGCAAGGGCGACACCCAACCAACTGAGACACACCAGCCGGGGCAAGACTTTAGTCTCTTGCCCCTATTAATTCAAGTAATTGTTATAAGTGAGCAACTGTGTGGGGGGGGGGGGGGGGCTGCCAAACATGACAGATTGGCGTGCTGTCACTTTGTGCAGGTGTGGTATAAGGCCAATAATATTGATAATACAATTACCAACCTCATTCCTCAGTCTTTCATGTATCTGAACGGTTTTGCGCTCATTTAGGGAAGGAGAGGGAAGATACAAAGAGAGAGATTTGAGGCTGTTTCGGTGTCTGCTCCCACATCTAAGCCATCCTGTGGCAGTAGGACATCGCCTCCTGCGGCTAGAGCCCCTCGGTCAGCGGGGCGACCACTTATCCCTGTGTGTGAGCCTGCGAGGTCAGAGGAGAGCAGGTGGCGTCGGTGCCACAGGCTGGCTGCAGGCAGAGCCCGCGTGGTGGAGCGGGCAGCCTGGGTCAGCCCAAATGGCTGCGGCATAGGGAACAGACTTCCTTTTCCTGAACTGGCCTGGACACACCCTCTGAAGCTTCCAGGGCACAGCGATGCCTGGAGCTATAGGAATCTCCATGGATACCCCCTGGAAGGACTCAGAGAGGAACACTCATGAGTCAGAGCCCCTAATACCACCATCCAGGCCTCTGGCACCACCATCTGGGCCTCTGACACCACCCCCCGGGCCAGTGGACACCTGGTCTTTAAAAATAAAAGTGTGAATGTTGAGGAAGATGGTGGACATGAGCACTGCACTCAATAGCACTCACTGCAGCAGTTTGTCAGAGCGCCCTGTTTGGAGCCCGGGCCAGCGGCCGCCTTGGGCGGAGAAAATAGCACAGATAAGCAAGGCTGTGGGGCGGATGAGGGTGACACGCTGTCAGAGCAGTGGGCCCAAACTTGCAGGCACTGAAGGGCCAGAGAAGAGGTTTCTGGACCTTCGGCCCAAGACCCTGTGAGATTGCACTTAGATTCTGCAGGGATGGACACCCCTTCTTGTGGGGGGAGGTGGCTTTCCCTCTGCCTCTGGTTGCTGGCTGAGAGCCGCACCCTGTCATAAAAGCAGGTGAGCAGGGAAGAGCAAATAGGAGCTAATCACGTGTGTGTTCTGTGCACCTGGGAGACACCCAGGCCCTGAGGAGCTGGGAGTGGCCCGGCTCCACCTGGAGAAACGGGGAGACTTGTTGCTTTTATGACGTTGGATCAGAGGCAGCTGCGAAAAAACAGGCATGTGGTGAGGCGAGAGAAAGATAAGAATTCTTCAAAATAAAATCTGTGGAAGCCTCCCGTCCCAGCTCCTCAGCCCTGCTGATACGGAGGCTGCTTTCTTTCTGGATCAGGGGAAGCTTTCCACATAGAGTTCTCATCTGCTTCTCAGAAAGAGAGAAAGGTAGGGGGTTCTTGCATTTACTGCTTTTCAGGTGCCTTTACCTGCAAGTCACTACGCCCACGTGGTGGATGGACGTGGCCCCCTAGCGGAGCCGAGACAGCCGGAGCAGGCTCGCAGTCTGAGCGGCCCAGCATGAGACTGAGCTGTAACTAAAATGAAACTGGCGAGAAAAGAATGTGTGACTTCAGTCCCAGAGTGTGCTCTTTACTTAGTGTCACTCTGTGTGGTCACTCTGTACCACACTCCAGAGTTAAATGACTTGTTCAGTGCCAGCAGGTGCTGAACACCCCGTACCACTGTGAAAAGTCAAACTGAGGGATATTAAAAAGTTTAAGTTTAATTGAGCAAAAATTGGTTCAAATCGGGCAGCACCAAACCCACATGGTTAGGAGCCCTCCTCAGATAGGAGCTGAAGGTACACATGCAGCCTCCGTTTCTCTGGAATATCACCCAAATGGGAAGAGTTAGAGTCATTATTGTCCCACTTTTTAAATCCACGTGTCCTTCCCAGTGTGCTCACAGTTATTTCTTAGCAGGGGCTCTCTCGGGAGTTTTAGAGGCTGGTGCTTTGCGTTGTGTGTAACCTCACTGAGCAATGCTCTGTGCACACGAGTTTGTGATGCTAAAGCAACCAGAGGAGGCGGCGCTGACTGACGGGTCCCATACCTGGCCAGCCTAGTGAGCACCCCAGGACGCAGGCCAGGCAACTCCCACCAGCGCCTGCAGGAGCCGCGGGCAGCCCGCAACAGGCAGCCAACAGGGCTTCCCAACAAGGCAGCTGCAGGAGCTGCCCCAGTCATGGACTTTCCTGTCTATGAAATCCTGGCCCAGCTCCTATCTGAGGAGGGCTCCTAACCATGTGGGTTTGGTGCTGCCCGATTTGAACCAATTTTTGCTCAATTAAACTTAAACTTTTTAATATCCCTCAGTTTGAGAGAAGTTTGAAGACCCCTGCTAATGGCTTAAAACCTTTAATATGGTAAGTTTTCAAACCACCAATAAAAGGTTTTGTTTTTTTTTTAATTGTGGTGAAAAACAAGACAACAGGTCTAAAATGGAGTTGCTCTTGCTAAGCCCGGACTTCATTAAATTGACACTAAATTACAGTTTCCACTCCCCTAGAAATGGCTTTTTTTTTTTTTAAATCAATCTTTATTGTTCATACTATTACAAAGGTTCCTCATTTCTTCCCCCCTCCACCAGGTTCCCACCCCACCCTACACCCCCTCCCCATCCCCCATTGTCCTCATCCATAGGTGCACAGTTTATATTCAGTCTCTTCCCTCATCCACCACTTCCCCTTTACCGAGAACTGTCAGTCCACTCCCCTCCCGTATCTCGGACTCTACTACAATCAACAGCTAATATTGTTCATCAGGTTTTTCAATCTTTTTGTTGTTGTTGTTGTTGTTGTTTTAATTAATAAACTTTTACACTTATAAGAATAAATTTTAAAATCTAATAATTTTAAACCTTGTTTTTTCTGCCCTGGGAAGTGAGAAACAAACTTGTTTACATGTAAACTTGCCCTTAGACTATCAAAAGGTGTAGCCATTCAAGTGTAAATGACACATTGTTTAAAGATAGCTGCTGGTTGGAATTGGATTACCTGTCCTGGGTGGGAAGGGCTTGTCCTCCCCTTTCTCCATTAAAATTAAGGTGTTAGCTTTAAAACCTCTTTTTGGCAAGAGACCTTAAACTTTCAGAACTTTAAATTTTTCAGATAGTAAATCAGTTACTTAGCATTTTCTCAAATCAATAATACCTCCACATGCCCAAGGATACACTTCACACAAAAGACACTTCCAAATAGATCAACCAACCTCATCCAGGCCCCACACAAGGCACTCACAGATCAACACCCCAGCGCTAAACTAAATTAACACATACAGATCTAAGCCTTCGTCACTTGATTCAGCAGACCCTCAAGTTCCCCCAAAAGTTTCCAGCCATGTCTGAGAGGTAGCCCTGGGGCGTGAGCAGGCAAGGAGCGAGCTGTTCCAGGCCTGGCTGCTCCAGGCTTGGCCTCTGTTGCTCTGGTCCGCTCCACAACCAGCTGCTGCTCCACAACCAGCTGCTCCGGGTCTGGCCACTGCCACTCCTGGCCTGGCTGCTGCTGCTCCAGGCCTGGCTGCTCCCGGCCTGGATGCTGCTGCTTAGAAATGGCATTTTTCAACCAGCCAATCAGGAGTCTCCTGATCAGCACAGGCAGGTCATCTGCCCAACAGATCCCTGTGGGTGAGCTGGCAACCACCAACCATGGAGCTGCACAGTGTAATCCTGTTCCCGCCCCTCCTGCCTTACAAGCCTTTCCTTCCACACAGCTCCTCGGAGCTCCCTTCCATCTGCCAGAAGGGTGCTACCCAATTCATGAATCATTGAATGAAGCCAATAAGGTTCTTAAAAATTGCTCGGTTGAATTTTGTTTAATGCCCCCAAAGCTATGAGCAGCCACTAACTGGTAGACTCAGAGGCATAGATCTCATTGTCAGAGGGAGCTGAGAAGAGGAGCAAAGGGCCCCTCACAAGAACTGGTATGGTAGCTGCTCAAAACTGCCCACCCCACCCCGCCGCCTGGCTTCCAGTTTGAGTGTCAACCCATGAACCAGGAGGTCACGGCTCATTCCTGGTCAGGACACATGCCCGGGTTGTGGGCTCGATCCCCAGGACGGGGCATGCAGGAGGCAGCTGACCGATGTTCCTATCTCATTGAAATGCACAGCCCACCCTGCCGCTGTGGATGCTGCTTCATGTTAGAAGGGAGCTGGGCCAGCCTCTCCTCAGCACCTCTTTGATGTAGCCCAGGAGAGAGGAGGAAGACCCACAGGAAAGCTGCATTGAGAGCAAAGCAAACCATCTCAGAGAGTCCAGACAGGGTTTTTCTACTGTCCACTGATCTCGGGGAAAGGAAAAATGCAGATTCACAGAGACACAGAGTATCTATTTTATTGTGTACAAAAGCAAGCATACAATAGTGATCCTAATAGCAAACATGCTGAATGTTTTCCGGCTGTTTGGAATGGTCTCTGTCCATGTCATGAATAAATAATACTTCTCTGTTACATGAAATACAGTACCACCAAGAGGTTTATATTTTTACGTAGCTGATCAAGTAAGTGAGCATAAAAGAAAGCATAAATGGGCAATGTTTATGCCGTGGAAGGTAGAAAGTCTTACGTCTTTTTGGAAAGGAAGAGGCCTGGGACCACTCCGAACGTCTTCCTGTAGCTGTTAGCTGTCACAGGCCCACAGTAGCTTCTCCCCATCTCTCTGTCTTTAGCACACAATGCCACCCAAACTTAATCGACTCAACCTTCAGCCAATTTAGTCAGTAAAGTTTTGAGAAACCATCTAAATGTAAACAATTGTAGATAATTCTGGTATATTTTTGTAGATCATTTTTATGTTAAAACTTTCCCCACTGCCTGATCTAAGCCTAACTCATTCTTCTTACATTCTCTCAACTTTTTGGTTACTTTGTTTCCCTTTGGGTTGTTTTAATTTGTCTAAATGCAACTTGTATGTAAACAACTCCCCAGATATGAGAGGCACTTATTAGAAACACATGACTATTCACTAGGAAACTCAGTGGCTTAGACTTGAACTGAATGAGCTCACACTTCCACTTTCCCACATTACCCGCTTGAAGACCACGGCAGGGCATTCATCTGTGGCATTTGGTGCATTCAGACGTGTTAGATCTGTGGTCAGAAATCATAAAACCAGCTGGTGTGGCTTAGTGGGTGAGCAATGACGCATGGGCCAGGAAGTTGCTGGTTCGATTCCCAGTCTGGGGACGTACCCAGGTTGTGGGCTCCATTCCCTGTGAGTGGCAGACAGAAGGCAGCCGGCCGATGCTTCTCTCGCGTCGATATTTCCATCTCTCTATCCTTCTCCTTTCCTCTCTAAAAATCAATAAGTAGATATTTTTAAAAAATTATAAAACCAGAAGTGTGCTCATGTTCGCTAATCACCTGCATAGTCATTAGGAGCTCTGACCCCATGGCAACAATAATGATTAAAATAAACCATCAGCCTGAGGCAAAAGGGGAAGCAAGCCAACCCACTTTTTCAGTCTTTAAAAACTGCCCTGTCATGTGACATCATGACTGCTCCCCAAATTAAGTAACCACCTTCAATTCACAGAACACATGTAACATCCGCAATGTTACCTCTAAGTTTCTTAAGTGTGATGGACCTCAGCTCAGACCGCAGGCGCCAGCAAAGTGAAGCAGGTTGGCCTCCCCCTGCAGGTGCCCGGAGACACCCACTTGGATGGACACCATGCCAGGCTAGGCATCAACTCTGCGTGAACCTTTCCATGTTAGCATCAGGAGCACACACGTGTGTCACGGGCTTACAAAGATTTATTGGCCGGAATCTCCTAAAGAGCTGGGTAAAAACCTGGCAGAGAAGGAAGCATGAGCACCTGCTGGCCTGTTTAAAGGACCCCTAACTACCGCGCTCACAGGAGCAGGGCAGCCAGCGGGGCAGGGGGTACACTCGGGAAGCCCAGGAAGAAAGGAAGGGTCTCTATGCTTTCAAACACAGCACTTAGCCTGGGACAAAAGGACGCTAGTGACTGGGGAAGTAATGTGTACGGCATGTCTGTGTAAAACGGTGTAAGATCTCAGGTAAGAGCTTGCCTTTCTCGGGGGGTGGGGGGGGGGTAAAGAATATAAGAGAGGATCTGGAAATATGTGAAAATAAAGTCTGGGAAGAAAAAAAACCTATCATAAAAATTTTATCTGTTATTTAGTATGACAAATCAGATTTAAAACAGGATCTTAATATTTAACATTTGCCTCTTATTTTAATTATGTGTATTTTGTCCTTATGCTGTTAACTTAGAAAACACCTTAGCTGACATTGACTGCTAAGGGAAAAGTCTGCAAACTATTAGATATTTTCAAATGAGAGAGCCACATTTTTCATCTGCCCCAAAGGTGAAAACATAGAAACATGTAAACAGAATATTCTTTTAAAGGGTTAAAATCAGCTACCATCATTAAACATACATGCACAGTATTAGACTAAAGTGAAATAAACCAGTCAGAGAAAGACAAATACTATATGATCTCACTCCTATGTGGGATCTAATGAGCAAGATAAACTGACAAAATAGAAACAGAGGCATGGATACATGAACAGACTGACAGTTGTTGGAGGGGAGAAGGAGGAGGAGGAGGGGGACTGGATGAGAGAATGTGAAGGGCTTAGCCTCAGAACACGTATAACTGAGGCTATAACTTCCGCATAACTCATAGACACAGGCAACAGCGTGGTGATGGCCAGAGGGAAGGGGGAGGGGGCAGGGCGGAAGTGGGCAAAGGATGAGGGGAATGGGGACATCTGTAATAGTGTCAACAATAAAAAATTTTAAAGGTAAATTTGAAAACATACTGTACAGCAAAAAGTAGTCAAACAAAGGTTTGAGAGCTATTCCCACAAACATCAGCAGGACCTCACGGCACAGTCCAGGGACACATGGATGAGGCGGAACTGCAGTGAAGCAAGAAGCCTCAGATGTCAGCAGCCACGGGGCCAGTAAGGTTGCCAGGACCTCCACCCTCACCCACTGCCCACTCTGCCCCCACCTGAGCAAGGTTCTGAAATCCTGCTCTTGTGAACTAAAAAGATCATTACTTTGAGGTCAGACAGCAGGATCTGGGCCCCAAATTAGTACTGTAATAGCTGTTACACTCCAAGTGGTTCCATGCGTTTCCAGCTCATAGGCCCTTCGTCCACAAACTCTTACCCCGTGGCGCCTCTTCAGGGTTGGGGTGCCACATATCCCATGCTGGCTCTCCACACAGCATGTCACGCTCACTCACAGACCTCCCACCCACCTTAGAGAACACAAATTTAAGATGTTGCTTTTTTAAAACTAATGTCCAGGAAAATATATGAAAACACTAGATTCTGTGGTCTCTGTATAGCAGGTGGCTTTGTAATAAATGATTTTGCTCAAAATCCATGCTCCCCAATCGACTGAGTTGGACCGAGCTTCTGCTTGGCTGGCTCATGCTGGGGACAAAAGAGAGTGCCCTGACCATCTCGGACACTAACGTCTGGCACTGACCACCTAGGACACTGCTGCCGGGCAGTGTTAGACTGCGGGCACTGTTCTCATGAAGGGCAAGTGCAGCTCAACATCTGGCTCTGCTCTCCTCAGCTGCCCACCGGCTCCGTTACCTCTCCTCGGGGAGATGTCACTTCGCTCCTTGTCATGGCACAGACCTGGGTCAGTTCTATCCAATGGCTATCATTTGCTTAAGATTATCGACATGAAGGAAGGCTTCCCAAGACGCCTTTGGTAGGAGCACACCGGAAGGGGTACTGAAGAACCAGGCGCCCCGAAGTGGCAGTCATACTGTTTCTTGACATTCACATCCTGTCACTCTCGGGGGGCCTCCATATTCAGGGTTCTGCGGGTCTTCGCAGTTCACCATCTCGGATGTTATTTGAATTTGCGTGGGTTTTGCTTTCCTCCATTTGTTTTGAGTTTTTTCTCACCGGCCAGGGAGGCCTGACCACAGTTATCTGCGCTACCCTTTTTCCTCGGATTTGCGTGTGCTTGCATTCTGGAGGCCTTGGGGGGGTCTGCTGTGTCCAGGCTCCCGGGGGGCGCCGGGCCGCGGAGATTACTGCTGCTTTCCAGCCGGCGGCTGCTGTTGCTGCTGGCCAGGTCGGAGCGCGGCCGCGGGCTCCTGCCGCTCCTCTTCTCTTCTTCCCGAGTGCCCAGGGCATGCTTCTGAGGGCACAACCTGCTGGGGCCCGGCACAGGCACATCCGGGGACTTAGCGGATGTCTCCAGCCAGCAGTAGGTCGGGTGGCCCTCGTGGGGAGCACCTTTCTTCCGAGAAGAGCCCGACCTGGGGGCGCCGTCCTGGCGGGGCTTGGACCCAGCGCTGCCCAGGGGCTTGCTTCTCCCTGGGCTCTTCAGAGGCCCCGCGGGCCCAGGCAAGGTCCCGGGCGCGGGGGACAGCCGGGCTTTGGCTGCCCGTGCTCTCTCGCCCTGGACAGTCAGGATTTGCAGCCACTCGAGCTGCACCAGCCGCTGCACGTACTTCCCCAGAAGCCCTCCTGCTCGGGGCCCAGGGACCGGCCTGTGCTCCGTGTTGGCGAGCACAGCCATGTCCCGCAAGTCCCAGGAGTTGCAAGGTGACGGGAGGAAGTCGGGGTAGTAGTATTCCGGCCTGGCGTGACCCTGGCCTGGTTGAAGGTCAAGGTCGAAGTAGACCGGGTCGATTTCCTCGGCACGCAGATGTAGGTCTGGAGGTGAGCGTGGGGAAGGGGGGACAGGGACCCGCTCCGAGTCCGAGAGGTCGCTGGCGCTGTCCTCCTCTGAGTCCTCTTTCATGAGCCTCAGCGACTGGAAGTCCAGCAGCAGCTTGTTCCCCGAGGCTCCCCGACAGCCGGCCCCCCGACGACTCCTTTCGGCTTTACCTTCTGGGGAAATGCATTCGCCAAGCTCCTCCCCAGCCAGAGGGGAGAGGCGGGGGAGGCTGCCCTTTGGCCTGGAAGGAGCAGAGAGGCTTCCGGACTCGCTCTGCCTTTTCCCTGAAGAATTCTTCCAACGTGGCACTTTATTCCAAGACCGGCCGGCTTCCATGCTGCTGTGAGAAACAAAACTGCGGTTCTTAGTACCCAGTACCAGGACAGACACTGCCTGCCTGCCCCTCCCCTCAGAACCACCTGGCCAGCAGATTCTGGCCAGGGCCAGGGCCAAAGGCAGGCCCTGCAGCTCCCTGGCAAGCAGGCCTAGTCAATTTACATCCGGTTCTGGAAAGGCCATACAATCAACACAGGTGTCACACATGCCTGCACGGATTCTATTTTATATCATTTACCAGCATTTCTTAAGGGCTCAGATTATTATCCTAGGCCACTGTGTGTACTTTGAAAACCGCTGGTATGGAAAGAATCTGTTGAAGAATTCTCAGCCTGTTCTGTTAGTGATGAGCGATGTTTAATACTGTGTTTCCCCGAAAATAAAACATCCTCCGAAAATAAGACCTACTTACAGGTTTTCTTCTGAGTGAAATATAAGGCATCCCCCCGAAAAAAAGGCCCCCCCTAGGCTCTGTCTCAGAATGAAAATTAATTTACCATAAACTGGTCACTAGGGCTGCCCCCACTGGCGTCTAGCAACCAGTGATGATACACGGAGTCCTGACGTCTCTGCTGTGTGGAGGCGGAGCGGAGGTCAGAGTGAGTGGTGAGCGCGGGGTGGGAGAGAGGAGACTTCTGCAGATGCGTGTAGAACAGGAGAATGGATTAGAGTGGACAGGACGCAGCAAAGGTGGTGAGTGCTGGTCTGTCTCTGGTGACACTACCTGATGCTCGCGGCTGCCCTCATGATGACTGAAGGTTCTCAGTCAGTGGCAGACCCTGCTCCAGCCCAGATCCAGGCCCCAGCAAGCCCAGTGACAGTCCCCAGGCAGGCCCCAGGGGGTAAATGTCTGATAAAGGGGTAGGGGGGATGTCTGGTGAAGGTGTTCAGTGGCACAGGGATGGGGGGAGGGGGATCACTTAAAATGACACAGGAGGATCAGAGGGGGCAATCAAAATGACACAGGAGGATCAAAAGGGGTTACTAAAATGGTAATCCCCCCTCTGATTCTCCTGTGCCATTTTGATTCCCCTCTCTGATCCCCCCTGTGTCATTTTAAGTGATCCCCCTCCCCCCACCTTGATACTCCAATTCCTTTTTTTACCCCTAGAAATGAGCGCAAAAAGAAAGTGGAGTACAAGAAAGGAATCGTGGAAGACTCTTGGGGCCAAAATCTTACTGCTTTCTGCAAAGAGAAGATGCTGAGTATCCGATTGGTCCGAAAATGGTGAGCAGAGTATGGTAACCTCATTGAACAAGTGGACAAGGGAAATGCTGAAAAGCACAAGTGTGGATCGGGTCGGCAACCATTATTTTCTGAGCTGGAAGACCTGATCTGTGAATGGGTTGTTGACAGGAGAGCAGAGGCTTTGGTTGTGAATAGGGCTCAGATTCAAGAATTTGCCCTTGCAATGGCACCACAGTTTGACATAGCCCCCGAAGACTTCAAAGCATCACAACACTGGCTGGATAATTTCCTTCAGCAATGTGAACTGTCTTTAAGAAGATCTACTGGTACAACATTGTTTAGGTTGGAAGATACTCAAGTTATTAAGCGAGCACTTGCATTCAAGTCCTTTATTGATGATGCTGACTTCTCTAAAAACAATACAATCTTTCCAACATGATTGCTATGGATGAAACTGCAGTGTTTATGGGCCAATCATCTCAAACAACAATTGAACAGCAGGGTGCCTCCTTAGTGTACATTCCCTCCACTGCTTAAGAAAGTGCACGTGTTTCCTGTATTTTGGCAATTCGTCTGGATGGCACTAAAATCCCACCTTTAATCATTTCTAAGGGCAAGAAGGAAAAGATTGAACGTGGTTTGAGCATTTTTATTCTTGAAACTGAAAAAGCCTGGCCACACAAGCAATTATAAGGAAGTGGGTCGATTTAATGCTGCCGCTTATTATGCGAGGGAGCCAAAGAGGTCTGCTAATCTGGGATGCAGCCAGCACTCACTGCGCTAAAGACATGAAGACATTTCTTCATGAAAGAAAAATAGATCAGATAATGATTCCTGCAGGAATGACGAGCTATCTTCAGACTCTTGATATTGCAATAAACAAGCCATTCAAAGACAATTTGCGCATGGAAATTAATGACTACATTGAAAATAGAATGGAGAGAAATAGCGTGGAAACTTTGTGAAACCTAAACTGCAAGAACTTGTGACTTGGGTGAAGAATTCATAGGAGAAAATCACTGACAGTTGCATTGCAAATGCACTGCGAGCAGGCTACCTTGACAAGAAGTACTCATTTAAAGACAGTGCTATTGCTAAACATGAGAAATTTGGTCCACTGATTCTGAAAGAAATGGAGTCATAAGAACTTCACCAGGAAATTCAGGAATTGGATTATTATGATATGTTCCAGAAGATGATGACATGATTGTCATTGAATAAATGAGTAAATTCTTGATACTGTAGGATTCAGTTTGTCTGGTTTTATTACCGTATACAGGTAATAAATTTCCTTTATTTCCATTTAACAATAAATGTGTACCGTATTCTTCTTCATAGAAAAATAAGACATCCCCTGAAAATAAGACCTAGCGCATCTTTGGGAGCAAAAATTAACATAAGACACTGTCTTATTTTCGGGGAAACAGGGTAACATTCATGAGGAAAATCCATGGCTTCCTCTTATGTGCCTGTTTTAAATGAAGTGTAAACAAGATGTAAAAGGCATATTTTATAGAATTTACTAGCTGGTGGGGAATCTGAGCCAACTTAAGTATACAATAATAAAAGCATAATATGCTAATTAAACCAGACAACCGAATGACCTTCTGGGCATCATTCCAGATGTCCTTCCAGACAAAGCCGCAGCAGCGGGGGCCAAAGCAGAGGCAATTAGGGATGATCAGGCAGGTGAGCAGTTAGGGGCAATAAGGCAGACAGCTGAGTGGTTAGGGGCAATGAGGCAGGCAGATGAGTGGTTAGGGGCAATCAGGTATGCAGGCAGAGGTGTTAGGGGCAATCAGGCAGGCAGAGTGGTTAGGGGTGATCAGGCAAGCAAGCGAGTGGTTAGTGGGGGGATGAGGTAGGCAGGCAGAGTGGTTAGGGGCAGTCATACAGGCAGGCGAGTGGTTAAGGGGGATGAGGCAGGCAGGCAGAGGTTAGGGGAGATCAGGCAGAGGCAGAGGGTTAGGGGTGATCAGGCAGGCAGGCGAGTGGTTAGGGGCAATGAGGCAGGCAGGTGAGCAGTTAGGGGCAATGAGGCAGGCAGGCAAGTGGTTAGGGGTGATCAGGCAGGCAGGCAAGTAAGTGGTTAGAGGGGATGAGGTAGGCAGGCTGAGTGGTTAGGGGCAGTCAGATAGGCAAGTGAGTGGTTAGGTGGATGAGGCAGACAGGCAGAGGTTAGGGGAGATCAGGCAGAGGCAGAGGGGTTAGTGGCGATCAGGCAGGCAGGCGAGTGGTTAGGGGTGATCAGGCAGGCAGGCCAGCGGTTAGGAGCCAGTGGTCCTGTATTGTGAGAGGGCTGTCCGATTGGCAGTCAGACATCCCCCAGGGGGTCCCGATTATGAGAGGGTGCAGGTCGGGCTGAGCCCCTCAATTGCAACAATTTCATGTACTGGGCCTCTAGTCCTATATAATAAAAGGTTAACATGCAAATAGACTGAACAGTGGAACAACCGAACAACCAAACAACCAGTCTCTATGGTGTGCACTGACCACCAGCTGATGTGTGAAGAAAATGACAGGCATTGGCTGTGGCAGGATGGTGGAGCAGGTGAGCAGGGGCACCAGACCAAGGCGGGGCACCGGTCACTGTCATTGGAGCAAGCCTCTGGTGGTTACTGAAAATTCTTTGCTCCCACACACTGCAGTCCTGCCTGGCACTTGCACCTGCTGTGGCATCAGCCCCACTTGCACCACTGCCAGTGCCGGAGCCACCACTCATACCCACTACCAGTGCCCAGCACCAGCCCAGATTGCTCGGCTCCATCAGTATGTATAAGCAGTAGATGCCAACCCCAATTGCCCCTCAGGGCTTGTCCACCTCCCCTTGCTCCTAAGGGAAGATCAGGGCTGGCAGCCACCTCTCACGCCTGCTGCTGGTGATGGCCCCACTCAACCCACAGTTGATGCCAGAGTCATCACTCGCACCTGCTGCCAGTGCCCGGCGCCAGTCCCAATTTCTTGGAGCCGTCAGCAGGTGTGAGAGGCAGCTGTTGGCGCTGATCACCCCTGAGGACTTCTCCACCTCCCTCTGCTCTAGAGGGGCGATCGGGACTGCTGATCACCCCTGAGGACTTCTCCACCTCCCTCTGCTCTAGAGGGGCGATCGTAGCTGCCACTCGCACCCATTGACGGCTCTGGCCTTGCTCACACCTGCTGCTGGCACTGGCTCCAATCGCTTCCTGCCTTCAGCGGATGCGAGCAGGGCAGGCACAATCAATGCGTGGGATTGGCAGCGGCAGCAGCAGGGCTATTGGCAGACAGGGGACCAGGGGCTGTGCCAGGTGGGGCCAGGCAGGGGTGCAGAGAATGGGCGAGACATGCCCCTGTGCTTACCACAACCTCAGGCCCACAGTTCCTTTCAAGGTGCATGAAATTATGCACTGGGCCCCTAGTCTTAATATGAAGAAGTGTAGAATATACAACCTGTACCTTTAACCAAAGGCTCATTAGCATTTAAACAGGAAACAGGAATTCTGTATTTAAAAGGATGGAGTTGCATGGTGTCTTAAGATACAATAAGAATGAAAAGACGGTTAGCACTGTCTGGTCGTGGTGGGTAGAGGGAACTTCTGAACAGTGTGCTTGGCTAGAAGAGCACCCGATTCTTCCCAGGGTAATTCACTCTAAGGAAGGATCCCATATCCGCATTGACAATATTTTCCTTTCAACTTACTTACCAAGGACATAGCATTTCACTAAGAATAATACCCTGTTTCCCCGAAAATAAGACAGTGTCTTATATTAATTTTTTCTCCCAAAGTTGCGGTAGGTCTTATTTTCAGGGGATGTCTTATCTTTCCATGCGCTAGGTCTTATTTTCGGAGATGTCTTATTTTTGGGGAAACACGGTACTTCTCAGCACCAACATCAGATAAGAGGGGCGGAGAGAATGGGAGAAAATGGGTAGTGGATATGCACCTAGTCATGTTTAAAGCCACTTGCCCATTCATTCCTGCTAGATAAAAATATAGGTGCATGTTTCTTATCCACAGACATACTATTTCCTTCCCAGCCACACACAGTCAGTCTGGAATTGACATATCACAATTTTACAAAATACAGCAGTTATATGAAAACTGTTTACCTGCTATTCTGGTGAGATTCACTCACCCTATTCCCTTTCTTGAAAAAATCACAGGGCTGGTCATCATCTAGGGTTGCTCGCGCTGTCTAAAAACCAGACAGACAGTAATAAATAACACGAACACACAAGAAATAAGCAAAAACCAGAACAAGTCTAAGTAAGATCCTCCACCGGTTACATCACCTTCTCTGTTGTGCTTGAAATATTCTTGCTCAATTTGTTAGATGATGAAAGGTGGGGAGGTGACTTCTTTATTCCTCTTATATTTTGAAGAGACTCTTTACCACTGGAACTATAAGCAACAGAAATCAGTCAATAAGTACTTTTTAAAATCATTTTTCAATTATCATTGACATACAATATTGTATTAGTTTCAGCCATATGACATAGTGATTAGACATTTATATAACTTATCAATCAAGTGATCAGCCCAGAAAGTCCAGTACCTATCTGACACCAGACATGGTTATTAGGATACTGTTGACTATATTCCCTATGCTGTACTTTATATCTCTGGGACCACTTTTATAACTTGTAGTTTGTACTTCTTAATTTCTTCCCCTTTTCACCCATCCCCCCACTCCCTTCCCATCTGGCAACTATAATTTGTTCTCTGTGTCTACAAGTTTGTTTCTAAAAATATGGAACGCTTCATAAATTTCAAAATTTGCATATGATCCTTGCCCAGGGTCTATGCTAAGCCTCTCTGCATCAGTCTGCTTGTGGATGTATGCTGCCAAAGCCAGCATAGTCAGTATTTATTGTACATGGTACTGTATCCAGAGTGGGTTGGTTTTCACTAGCTTGTTTTTAAAACTTTGTACAGCATTAAAATATTGATGGGAGAGATTGTTTTATGTTTAAAGTTTAATTTTTTCTATCTTATTTTCACAGTGGATATTGGATACCAGATCATCTGCTATAAATGCTGCAAATGGATTCACACCACACACACATACACACACACACACACACACACACAGTCTCTTTGGAAATAACACATTGAGGAAATTGTGAAGCTAAGGTCAGGTATCACTCCAAAGCTCCCATATCCAATCATTCATTCATTCACAAATAATGATAGAAGTGCTTAGAAAATGACAGGATTGTGGCAATGTCCCAACTCCCATGGAGCTTAAGCTCTATTGAGGAAGCTCCCTTTCCATTCCCACTAACACATCAACCCATTAAAAGATTATCAGTCTATTAATACAATATCACATCGTCTTATTTCTTTGTGAAAGTCTGTTGACTCAGACCACACAGTGCTGCTATTGCCTCTTATTTTGAGTGGCCTAAAGTGCCCTGATTTGAAAGTGAATACTCTAATAACAGCCGCCCACCTGGAAGGAGGTGGGTTATAAAAGGTCTTTATTTTCTTCCTGGAATTTTGCTGTGTTACTTTTCACAAAAAAAACTTTTTGGTCAGTTTACACGTGATGGTAATAAAAATCTCATCTGTGTTCTCACAATTAATGAGTTATGCCAAAATCAACAGGCTTGATTGATTTTATATATACAGGATGCATTAGCTTGGTGTTCTTTCTGCTCTGGGCAGTAAAAAGGAACCCTCTAGAATTCCTGGCCCCAAACTGCTCCAGGCTTCTGCTTTTTTGCACAAAGTTCAGGAGAAACATACCCACAGGGCCCTGAGGATGCAGAAAAAAGCTCGGGGTTGGTTCAGGCTTGCCTCGGAACAAAGCTAAAAGTCCAAGATTTGGGCTGCAAAAACGCTTCCGAATAAGGATAGCTGCATAATTCATCACGGGGTGTTAACTCTTTTCCCACATCTTCCTCCAGGCTAGGGGCTTGGCTTCTAGAGAGGAACAGCAGCAGGACTGCCCCGCCCCCCAGAAATTGGCTGGCGGTCCTGGGCAGCAAAGCATTGTGGGTGATGTGTGGATGAGACGCTTATCTATACCGCGAGGCTCCCTTAGTTCAGCCGAGGGTCCAGGCAGCAGAGCATATGTACAAAGAGCTGGCCAGCCTAGAGGCTTAACATGAGCTTGGGGGCCAGCACCTGCAACCCCTCCCTCCCAGCCACCAGTAACCCATAAACCCAAGGACCCGCAGCATGCATTTTCCTTGTCTTCCGTTTGTGCAGACTCGGATCTATGATCTATAGACGCGCGGGCCTGGCAGACGCAGACAGAAATTGATCAGACCTGTTTCTGGATCGCCGAGGACACGTGACGAGGCCGCCAGTCTTCCTTCGCAGCGCCCTAGCGGGGAAGCCGTGCGGCTGTGCACGTCCGCGGGGGCGCGCAGCCGGCCTGGCTCCCGGGCTGCGCTCTGGACCGCGGGAGCCCGCGCGGAGGCGGCGTCACGAGGGCCGGGCCGGGGCGGGGCGGAGGCTCCAGGGAAGTAGCGCCCAGACAGTTGCAGCCATGTAAGTGAAGTGGCGACCGGGGAGGTGGGAGGGGCCGCTCCACCAATGCAGCCTTCCTCTAAGAACCCTCCAGGAGACGGAGCCGCCGCACGCTCCACGGGTGGCCCCGAAAAGCTTGCTCTGGAGACAGCATTCGTCTCTTGGGAAACAAGCTCTGTTTTCGCTGCAACTAACGGGAGACCTGGGAGAGGACTCGAGGGGCGCGGCGGCAGAGGAGGGGAGGCGCGGCGGGGCCAGGGTTCCCTCGGGGCGTGGTTCCAGCGGACACCGGGGCCTTCTGAGCACGGCTGGGGACGCCGCCGAGGTATTGGAGGCGGGGTCGGGAGGCTGCCCCTCTGATTCATATCCCCATCTCCGGGGGCCTGCTGGGCCATGTCCAGAAACTCGGATCCCGCGATCCTGCCCCGCGGCTTGGGGTCCCGGAAGTCCGCCCCGCGGAGCCTCAGCTGCCTCTCTGACCTGGTGGGCGGCGCGACCCCGGAGCAGCGGCCTTGCCGGCCCCCCTGGAGCTCGGGGCGCGCGCCGCCGCCGCCACCTGCACAGGCAGGCTCAGGCTGCGACCCCAGCCTGCGCCCCATCATCACGCGGCGGGCTCACTCGCTGCCCAGCTCCCCCGAGCGCCGCCAGAAGGCCGCGGGCGCCCCTGGCGCGGCGTGCCGGCCGGACTGCAGGCAGCACCGCGTGCGCTTCGCCGACGCCCTGGGCCTGGAGCTGACACAGGTCAAGGTGTTCAACGCGGGCGACGACCCCTCGGTGCCGCTGCACGTGCTGTCGCGGCTCGACATCAACTCGGACCTGTGCTGCAGCCGCCAGGACCTGGAGTTCACCCTGCAGTGTCTGGTGCCGGACTTCCCGCCGCCCATCGAGGGGGCCGACTTCGGGGAGCGCCTGCGGCGGCAGCTCGTGTGCCTGGAGCGGGTCACCTGCTCCGACCTGGGCGTCAGCGGCTCGGTGCGCGTGCGCAACGTGGCCTTCGAGAAGCAGGTGGCGGTGCGCTACACCTTCTCCGACTGGCGCAGCGCGCTCGAGGCCGCGGCCCGGTGGCGGGGCCCCGCGGGCTCGGAGGGCACCGAGGACGTCTTCACCTTTGGCTTCCCGGTGCCACCCTTCCTGCTGGCACGGGGCTCCCGCGTGCACTTCGCTGTGCGCTACCGCGTGGCCGGCGCCGAGCACTGGGATAACAACGATGGCCGCGACTACAGCCTCACGTGCCGCAACCACGAGCTGCACATGCCCCGGGGGGAGTGTGAGGAGAGCTGGATCCACTTCATCTGAGCCCCGGGCCCGGACCCGGCGCTGCTGCTCCGTAGCCACACCTGCTGCCACTTCCTAGCGGGGCGCTCACGGCAGAGGCAGCTGCTCTTCCCTGCACTCCGTCCCCACACCTAAACCTGACCTCACGTCCTGCTGAGGGGCCCCTGGCAGTGGCTATCTGCCACCTACTTGAAACGTCTGTGTCAGCTGTAAAATGGAGCCTCGGGTGGCCAGAGGCCTAGTGTGTAACAAGCTGGGGCAGTGCGGGTGGGTAGTGCAGGGGTGTTGGTTTCCGACTGGGTTTCTGGAAAAGGCCTGCATCCTCCAGCTAGGAAGGCCGGATTGCTTTTGCATGTGCCCTGATTAGGTCTCTGTACACGTAGGTGTTACTTATTATTGAGATGCTGGGAGCTTGATCCCTAGTGGATGCCTTTCCCGGAGCATTCTGGATTTAATAAGCTAAAAGAGAAACCAGTTTGTGTATTTGTGCCCCAGTGTGACCCCCATCATGGTTCCTTGAGGCATTCCTGCCCTGGGACAAGGAAAACCTGAGCTTGCCAATGTTTGTGGACTTCTCACCGTGGAAAAAACTATTTATAGGCAAGCAATGTATGCCTCATCAGTCATCACCACCATTCCTGGGAATTTAGGCTGCCCGGGGGAAGCTGTGTCGCCTACATCCCAGCTGAGAGAGAACACACTTAGAATGTTAGAACAGCCCCTGTGTCTTCTCACGCCTCACACTTCTCTTGCACCTACTTGATAATTAGGTATCGCATGTTATCAGGCAATTCTGTTTAGGGTTGGAACTACCTAAACAGGATAAGAAACTCTGCCTTAAGTTATGAACAATTTCAGACAGATGCCCTTTTCAAATACCTTTTTGATGATCAAGATGATTCTGTCTTCTTAAGCATCAGGAGATCCCAGCACTCATCTTTCAGAAGCCAGGATGCCAAGTGGAATTAGAAAGTTTGTTCAGCAATAGCCAGAGCACTAGAGGAAAAATAATTGACAAATATTTATACTTCTTAAATGTTTTAAATTGTACTTACAGTATATGCCTAGGTTTTATTTTAAATTGTATTTATATGTACCTCGTTTTATCAGCTACCTGCCAACTTAATTCTTTGTGCCTTCAGATCAGAGTTTCTAACATTGTCGGGACTTGTTTCCCAGTTTTAAATTAAATGCTTTTCTTTCTTTCTTTTTAATATCTCCAACCAAGAAGTCAAGGCCATTGTCCCCTGCAGAGTGCCACAATGACTTAAAACTCCAGCAAGGGGCTGGTGATTGCTTTTGGTGCTGAGTGATGGTTTTTCTGACAACAGGTGCTAGCTCTCAAGTGTGAAAATCCAGCCGGAGTGGACAAGGCCTCCGACTTGTGAAGTTTAATTATGACACAGTTGAAATCTCTGAGGTAAATTGTGACAGCTGTCACCAGTTAACTAACTGAATTTTAAATGCTTGTTAACATTTGTTAAATTAGTATGTAAAGGGTGAGTTTTGCCTTTTAACCAGTTTGGTTTTTACAATGGCAACTTTTGTGTTTTTAAAATTCCAAGAGAGAAAAAAGGCTTTCTGATCTAGAGGGAGTACTTTCTGATTTAAGAAGACTGAATTTTTATTTAAAATGTCGTGATTAAATTGAACAAGCTTTGGCTGTTAGCGTTGTTCACTCCATTGACTTGCAAGAGAGAGAGAAGCCTGGTTGCATTTCCTGTTTAACAAACTGTCCAATTAGGTCAGTACGCCTGTGAGGGCCTTGGCTGCTATGTCCTTGACCCCAACCTAGATTGCAAGAAATTATCCAGAGTATTCATGTACGAAGGTTAGAGCTGCCAAATATATTGTATAAAGGCATGGAGACAATCTTATAATCAATGTAAAATTACTTGGCAAAAGGTTCTAGTCATGGAGTATAAAGTAAATATTATATCTTCAGTATTAAAAGAACCTCAGAGTGCCTTTAAAAAATTAAATATACTTGCCTAGTTGATAAAGTTCAGCTTAACGAGAACTTTCAGATTCTAAAACAGTTATATTGCTTAAATGTTAACATTTTGTAGTGGGTTGTGCAATTGTTGGGTTGTCTGGGGTGGCAGCTCGTGTGCCTGGAGCCGATCACCTGCTCAGACCTGGGCATCAGCGGGCCTGGGCATCATCAGTAAAAACAATATATTTTAATGTTTAAACTTTGAAGCTATTTCACTCAGACCTAAAATTAAATTGTATGTGCACAAATTGTTAGCTGGAATGTGTTTTACTTGTAGTCTCATTAGAGAAACATGTTAGAAACTTCTTGATTGTTTAAATAATTTCATGGTTAAGTCTTATTCTTACCTAAATAGTCAATCTTAGTATCTTGCCCCAAAAAATGTTTTTTGTGTTTTTTTTTATTGTATGTTAGTACCTCAGTTTCCATAGCACAGTTGTGCATGTCTTTGAGAAACCGAAATGCAATATTTTGTGCCAGGTCACATACGAAGAAAGCTTTAGGACAGTGGTCAACAAACTCATTAGTCAACAGAACGGCAAACCGCGGCTCGAAAGCCGCAGTTTGCCCACCACTGCTAGGGGATTGCAGGGGATGAGACAGTATTGTACTCTTGTGTGTCTGACTCCCCCCGGATTGTGCCTTGGACACAGGGGATGGAAACTAACATTCACTGTGTCCTCTCTTATTTGCCTCCCCACAGTGCTAGGTGCTGTATTTAATTCTGAAAATTACACTATCTGGTAGATAATATCCCCCTTTTTTTAGTTGAAGACAGTGGACTGCACCTAAAGTCCCACCGCTGGTAAATAGCAAAGTCAGTATTCAAACCTACCCCAGAACCCAATTTCACTATGATTGATAGAAAAGATTTTTCATCTAACAACTATGATCTAAAAACCTATTTAACAACAATTCGAATAAGATTAAAAAGAGTGATTGACTTTTTTCTTCCTTGTGGCAGTATACTGTTTACTACACAATTCTTATGCTTTTGTACAAGTGAAACAAAAGGACTTTTAACTTTTCTCCTCTGCTACAAAGTGGCAAATTGAGAAATCACTATTTAAAATTTTTTAAGTGTCTGCTATATACATTTCTGCATGGCTTGTGTATTTTACACAAGCATGATTGCTTTTATCTTTTAAACGGATACTTTAAGTGAAAACATTGTAAAAAGCCTGGAATATACTGATGCTCCTGCTCAATCAGTATCACGCACAGAGGGCCTAATTTCCCATAGGCCTAATTTCCCATAGGCCCTCTGGCATAGGACTTGGGTTCTGCCTAAGGAAGGAGGCAGCCACTCCTGCTTCTAGGAAACCCAGGCAGGAAACCCTCCCGCAGACAGGAGAGGGGCTTGGCAGCCTGGTGGGGCGGGGCCGGCGGGGCGGGGCCGGCCTGTCGGGAAGAGGGCGCGTGGCCAGCGGAGCTGGGGCAAGACTGACTCCGGAAGCCTGGGCCCTGGGCCAGGGCACAGCGTGAGGCCTTGAGGTCCGCGGGGCCTTGGCCCGTGTGGCTCTGCCGCCCTCTGCCGGCCCGCAGCGTGGGACTCCGCAGAGGGCGTGTAACCTATGCATCCTGGCAGGTTTGGCTGGTGCCCCTGGTCTCGGGCCCTGTCTAGCCCCCGCTCCTGGGTGGTTGTGGGGTTGGAGGGGCCCTCACAGGCGTCCGCACCGAGAGAGGAAGGAAGAGACAGACCGGAGAGAAGCGGAAGAGAAGCTGATGCCTCTTCTGGCTGCGCATCCTTGAGGGGCAGCCTTCCCGCAAGGACGGCGCCCGGGAGGGGTCAAGGGTCGGGGTTGGGGTCAGGGTTGGGTCGGTCGCTGCAGTCCACTTACTTGAGGTGCGGAACCACGCCCACCGCGGCCTCCTGCAGCCGGCACGTGCAACGGTTACGAGAGGCGGGACCTTGCTGGGCAGTAGCGCTGATTGGACACGGTGTGGACCACACATAGCGCTGATTGGACAGGCTCTTCCCGCCTTCCGCTGGCCGCCTCAGGCCCTGAGACACGACGCTCTGACGCTCGGCAGCCGTTGGGTCCAGACTCCACACAGACGCCTCCGAGAGCGGCAGGTTGAGCTGGGGGGCCCACGGGCGGGGGTTGGGGGGGGCGCTGACGGAAGGTGAAGTGTGAAGGAGGAGCCATTGTGGAAAAGGCCAGGCAGGCGCCATGCCAGGTCTGAGCGCGTCCAGAGGGCCTTGCGTGGCCCGCTGGGGGGAGGGGGAGGGCCGGGATGGTGAGGAGGCGCCACGGGGTCGGAGGGGCGGTGCACGCTGTGTTGGCTCAGCCTGGCCTCTGAGCTCCAACGGTCAGGAGACCGGAAGTTCGGGGCGGATGGGGACGGGCGCCCTCGCCATGCCCGTGGGTGCCTGCGCCGGCTGGGCAGGTGTGGTCTGTGGCGCCAGGGCGGGGCCGCCGTGGTTCTGAGGGCTGGCGGAGCGGTGCGAGGCGCGGCGGCGGCGGGCTCAGCACCAGGCCCACAGCGGGAGGGACTCTCAGGGCCTCCCTCCTCTGCTCCGGTTCTCCTGGACCCTCTTTTAGGCTCTGTTCTGAGGCCCGTTGTGTCCGAAGAGTGATTAGAATAAAATGCATCAGAAGGCTGAATTTCGGGGGGGGGGGGGCGTTACACGTGTTTTATCAAGTGGTGGTGTTCATATTTCAATCCTTAAAGATGGTGGTGCCCCTCCCTCCTGGTTAGGGTCTCACATTCGGAAAATGCTACGCGTAGAGAGGAACATGTATTGAACCGCGTTCACCCAGCCTTGTGAAGCCTGAGCCATTTCCGCCGCTCGCACACGCCCCTCCGCCGTCTCTGCCGGCCACCGGCGCGGGCCTGCCTGTCCACGCCGAGGCCCACGCTTCTGGCGGTTACTTTGTCGGGGCTTCCGGCGGCCCCTTGTTCCTCGATCCACGTGGTATTTGGTAAGGATATCTAAAACTGTGCTCATGATGAGGAAAGGGAAATGTGAGGCCCTAACCAGGAGGGAGGGGCACCTTTCCTTTCAGGTGAGAACGTTTGCCTTGCTGAATGGCTAGTTAGTACTACATTTTTGGCTCCACTGAATCCAGTCTTCGAGGAGGCGGGGAGGGAGGAGTCCCTGGATTGTTCAGTTTCCTTATTGCTAAAAATCTGCCTGTGTGGATGCTAATTAATTTTCCTTTTCTTCGGCTGACGTCTTGCACAAAAGTAGAATTAGAAACTAAATCAACTTGTTAGCTTTACATGCCTCTTGGCCTTCAGTAATTCTGTACTAGACCCTTGTCTCAGAGTACTTTGTAAATTACTCTTAACTTCAGATTGTTTCCACGGTGAGGGCCTGTCCCAAGAGTTATTGGACCTACGCAGAGTACAAATGGAGGCCTCTCCTGTATATTTTAAGTAATTAAAATTTTTAACGAATAAAATTTTTAATGAAGTTTTAAAATTGTGAAATAAAATGTTCTAGTCTTCAACCGCACAAATACACCACCATTGCAACAAACTAGAAAAATATATGTAAAGCTACTTTTATGGCTGACTTACAAAAATATCAAAGATAACTGAATGTATTTATTATGGCTATTTGATGATGGACTATTGAATTTGGATAAGTAATAAAATAATGATGAATTAACTGCCTAATGTAAAATGTAAAGGTTTAAAAACTACAGAAGGAAATATGTAGGATATCTCTCAGGCGTTATAATATGGTAATATTTAAGACCTAAAAAGCACAAACATGAAAACTAATAGATGTGAAGTTTTGTATATCATCTCTCTTTTACACAAATGGCTATTTAATATTTATACATTTTACATTAGGCAGTTAATTCATCTACTATTTTATTACATATTAATTATATTAACATATAATTAAAAATTACTGCCATATTTTTATCAAAATCAGTGAATATGTTATAAGCAAGACTTTTACTTATTTATTGTCCTAGTGACAGTATGATTTAAGGATTAAAACTGTATTTATTCAAAATATACTAATTTGAGTATATATTTATCAAAAATATAAAATAGATATTAAAAGTATTGTTTAAAATTCTCTGAAATATTAAAATTCTTTTAAAATTAAGGTACAATACAGTGAATATTAAAAATTATTTGAATAGCAAATTACTTTTAACACGTAAATCTTAATTTTTATATAAACTTAGTCACCATTCTAGTGTTTGCTTGCCATCTAACTGCCATTTTAAAGAGTTCATATTGTGTTCATGCAGTTATGTCTAGATTTACATAGATACAAATTAAAGAATAATATGAATTGCTTAGAACTACAAGTGTTCCTCAGTCACTATGTGTAACTGTTGCAAATATTGTGCACAAAATTGCTAAGTGTTTCTAATGCCACAACTTGGAATACAAAGAGAAGCAAGAAAATGGACATTCAACATTATTAAGAATCAGTTCTTCCATATGCAAGAATCAATTCTAAGCTTTGCCAGGGGATGGATTGGATTTAATTTCCATATTTTCTCTTACCTGAGAGCACTTAGATTGCTCAAATTATAGCATCATTCTGAAGTATAGACTAAAATATCAGTATCAGCACAATCTATATCCTTCTCTG